AAAAAAAAAAAAAAAAAAAAAAAAAAAACAAAACCACCAAACAACACACACCAACAAAAGAACCTAAGACGACAAAAATAAATAAAATATAATAAGACCCTCCACTAACACTAACAATAACATAGCCACATGCGCGAACGAACTTGACCAGAAGACAAACACACGGCCGAACTCAGATCTAGAAATTACAACTGAGGCCTAACTAAACCGGACTTAAACAGGCCGAATCACCGCCCACCAGAACCATTATGCTCCCCACCAAAAGTCCAAGCCATGGAAGCCCGCCAAAATTAAACCCATCAGAACCAGCTGATCGCCACTGCTGGCAACCCACTTCCTCTACAGTTAGACCACCCGCCCCAGCACCAGAAAATGGGAGGTCCAGGGGAGCTTCCGTGACCATGAAGTCAGCCAACGTCCGCCCAAGTGCTGCTGACGTTGTCAGCGACTGCGATGTTGTGTATACTTAAAGCTTGACCTTTTACGTAGTAAACACTATCTTTCTTTTGAATTAAGTTGTCTTATGTTCTGATATTAAACACTATCGTGTTTAATTAAGTTGTCTTATGTTATAATATTTTACATTTTGATACTGTGGTTCATCACTGATGAACAGAAGGCCACGTATTTGGTTACTTGTAAAACATAAATAATATAGTTCACAACCTTGATGGAAATGAACAACTCATCGTGAATGATTGTACTGTTAATAGTACAGTCTGTCTTGACTGATTGGTTACACTAATGAACTAAACGATACAATTGTTTTGAACTGATCGGTAAACAAACTAGACTTTGGTTAATGCTTGCGTACTCTTACTCGTAAGACATAGGCATGCATGTGTTAATCTTGTCAATGACATCTTTGAAATCTGAAGACGCACATCTCAATCTAATTTCATTCTCCTATCACAAAAATATAAAACAAAGCAATTTTTCAAACATACATAAGCTGCCAAAGATTAACACAAACCACATTAGAGGAAGTAACAAATATAGCAAACTAAACAAAAGGAAAAGTTGAACAACCTATACAAAACCAACTACCCAAAGAACAGACTAACAAAATATATCCATACAACAAGATACAAGAACACAACATAATAAACACAACACATTTTTCCCAACAAAAACCACAACAACCACTTCAACTAAATCAAAAAGAAGGATCAATGATGTGCCACTGGGTTCCACAATGAACTCCTAGTAGTCATTACAGATAACAACCAATCTGATCTCCTCAGTCCATTATCTTTTTTCTTTAAAAAAAAAAGAACCCATATGTTTCTAAAATGATGAAATTCATCCAAATCTAAAATGATGAAACTCATAAAAGAGCCCTAATTCATAAAGATACTCAAATCTATAATGATGAACCCTATACCATGTAAAGAGCTCTAATTTATCTATAAAAGTCGTAATTGGTGAAATACAAGTCAAATTCAAAGTTCATTAGCACCAAATAAGTAATCAAATCCCAAATTCTAAAAAAATTGGAATTCTAGAACAAAATCAAAATTTTGAAAAAAAACTTTAAAATTTGAAATTAGTTGTTGTCTTTGAGGTAGAGGAAGACGATTTTTTGAATAGAGATTTAATTTTTAAGCTCGCCATTTGTTGCTTGATGGGCTGACAAAGACAGGGGGTTTGGTCAGAGACGACG